AAAAAAACTAAAGAACTCATAATTGATTTTAGGAGGAAGAGAAATGTACATTTACCACTGTACATAAATGGTGAGGAAGTGGAGAGGGTTGGTAGTTTTAAATTTCTGGGCACTTGCATCTCAGAGGACCTCTCATGGACTATAAATGCCAACATGCTAATGAAGAAGGCACAGAAGAGGCTGTATTTCCTGAGAATGCTCAGCAAGTTAAATTTATCTCAGCATTTACTTCTGTCCTACTATTGTAGCACCATTGAGAGTGTCCTAACATGTGGCATTCTTGTATGGTTTGGGAGTAGCTCTGTAGTGGACGAAAAAGCTCCACAGAGAACCATTAAAATTGCCCAGAATATCATCGGGCTCCAGCTATCAACCCTGGATGACATCTTCACAACCCCCATCTGAGGAAGTCACACAACATCCTTAGAGACTTTTCCCATTATGCTTACAATTTCTTTGAACTGTTGCCATCTGGCAGAAGATACAGAATAATTAAGACATGGACCACACGTTTTCTGAATAGTTTTTATCCCAGAGCTATAATTGCACTTAATAATGAATTTGAAGACCACCAGTAGTGAATAGTTGGACAGTGTTATTTAGCCTGTGTTGTAGATGTTTGTATTTTTAGTGGGGGATTTTTAGTAGGGGGCATGTTTGGGGATTTTTTTTATGTGTGTGTGCATGTGGGTCTGGTCTCTGGGTGCCTGTGTGAATTTCGTTGTATGTGTATACTATGTATAGACTTACAATGACAATAAATTTATTTGATTAATGTATTGATCTCTAATAACACATTACTGTATATCTTGGAAATTTACAAACAAGAAAAAGCAACAAGCTTACTGTCATCTTCATCTGAGCTTCCCAACCTGTTCAAAAAAATCAAATATTAAAGGCAGGATTTCATTGTTTTATGTGCTCCCTCACAACATATAAATATGAAGTAATTATTTCTAAACATGGGGTAAACCTATAAAGGTTTTCATCCTTGCTTCAACAATAATGGCAACAAGGGTTGTGTTGCACTGACATGCTGACATGCATTTCTTAATAAGAGACACATTTACTTAATAAGATTTACATTTTCACAACTACTTCCTATTATTTTAATCAGTTTATTATTTGCATTGTGCTTGCTGTTTTGTTGTTGTCGTTTTGTTATTGGCCCATGTGGAGAAACTTGTGTATAGAGAAATCATTCTCTATACATCTTGCCTTGTATGGGTGTCTAAGGAGGTCCTCAGCTAAAGTGATACAGGTTGCTGATAAGAGCAACAAGAACAATCTGCCTTTAGATGAATAGAGGAATTGTGGACAATATGAACAGTACTTACGAGTGGTTCCTACTCAGATTATTCATCCTGGTTTTCCGACTCCAAGTCATACTGTTATTTAAATCCTACAAGGGAGTGAAAATGCCAAATGCTACTAATATTTCCCATATCACTTTTCCAAAAAGCTAAAGCATATCCTAATTTTGTCACTCCTGGGGCATTTCATGTTCATTCTCAGAGCTTGCTTTCACAATGCAAGTGAACCAAGATAACTGCATTTTTATATAACAGTGTTATACCTAGTAGACTTTAGAATAAATATGAGATTACGATAGCATCAGAAGTATAACAAAGTCTCAGCTCCTCGCTATGATCTCACTTCTGTGGGAGTACAACCCCACCCATTCTTCCTTCCACAACTCCTTAAATAGCTGCTTTGGTAGTACCAGGACTCTCGTTTCTCCTGTTTGCTTATCTGTGATGACTGCAGCTGAGGCAAGGCTAGACAAAGAGGCAGCCGTTAGGCTCCTCCCTCTGCTCCTGACATCTGAGGGCCAAACTATACATTAAAAATAGCTCGTCATTAAAAGAGGGGATTTCTTAAATGCTGAGGATGGCCACTCTCACAGCAGGAACTTTTCACACCTCTTACAGTTTGTAAATTAGCTTGATTGGTTTTGTGACTGGTTATCAGATGGAAGCACAGGCTTCATCCGCAAATGTGACTGCTGGAATTATGTCTCTACAATACTAACAGATCTCAGTTTCTAATGATATGCTTTCTGTAATGTATAGTTTGATCCTGGAATTCTACTGTAGTTAGAATACGTGTCAAGAATGAAGGGAGACAGGTAGAAGAGGAAGGAGCGATGGAAGATGACTTGAGAATTACAGACTAGTGAGAGAGTTGTGGGCCCAAGGAATGATTCACCAATTTAGATTAGAGTTTACCTCAGATTAAAGGAGAACATTACATATCACTGACTCCATGTCAATAAAAGAATGACAGATTCAATCACCAGCCACCACACAATTTAAATCCAAAACAGGGATTCTAAAGGATCAACAGGGGAATATTTTATCTGAACAGAATAAAATAAAGAAACAATAGACTGAAGAACTATGCAGAAGAGAATCAAGGAAGACAGACTCTTCTGTAGAAGAATCCTGTGATGAAGAGCCTGCAATCTTTAAGAAAGTGAAGTGAAAGCAACTCTTAAAGTAATGGGAAGAAATACATCACCAGGAGTAGACAGGACACAAACAGAATTATTTTGAGTTACAGTGACTGAATCTATCAGAATTCTAACATGAATATGCCAGAAAATATGGGAAAAAAACAATAGCCCACAGACTGTAAATGTACAATATACATTCCAATCACCCAGAAAGGAGATGGCAAGAAGTCCAGTAGCTATGGGACCAATTTATTACTTTTCCATGCATGACGTGCTCAAGATTTTAATGAAGATATTTACCATATACAGAGCAAGAAATGCTGAATTTTCAATCTGGATTCAAAAAACGAAGAGGCATTAGAGATCACATTACAAATGGATGGCGAGTGTATCTAAAAATTTAGAGAGGGAAAAACAGTCTATGGTTTATGGATTACAGCAAAGTTTTTCACTGTGTGGATCATGAAAAGCTACAGGTTGTTCTGATACGAATGGGCATGCCAAAACATTTGATGGTCCTGATGCAAATCATACTCTGGGCAAGAGACAATAGTTCGGACATAACAGGAAGAAACAAAATAGTTTCCTGTTGGCAAAGGTGTCAGATAAGGCATATTCAATCGCCCTGTCTGTTCAAACTATATGCAGAGTGTACCATATGTAAAGCTAGATTAGATTCAAATGAAGGGGGAGTGAAAATGGGTAGAAGATATATTAATAATGTAATATATGCAGATGATACTATATTACTGACAGAAAGCAGCAATGACTTGAAATTACTACAAAGAAATTCAAAGACTAAAGTCTTAAAGCAGAATTGTTAAACCTTGAAAAGACAAAAATCATGACTACAGAAGATTTATATTACTTTAATTTGACTATGAAGAAATCTAAATCGTCAAAGAAATTTTGTTCCTTGGTTCAATCACCAGTCAAAACAGAGATCTCAGCCAAGAAAACAGAAGTAGGCTTCAACTTGGAAGAGCAAGTGGAAAAGGAAGGACAGCTTGAAGGAAGTAGAAAAGAGCCTTAATAGTAAGGATATGTCTGTGGAGACTGAAGCCAAGATCATCCATACTTTTCTCAGTTACAGTATATGGATACAAAAGCCGGATAGTGAAGACAGCTGACAGGAAGGAAGTCAACTCCTTTGAAATGTAGTTGGAAGAGAACTTAACAGATAGCCTAGACTGCCACTAGGGATGGCTTAGAATTTTATTTGGTTTATTTTATAATAATGGCTTTGAAATGTTGCAAAGGTCTTTGCACACTCAATAGAATGATCTTGAGATTATTTTTAAAAATTCAAAAAGCTTTTTTAAATGACAGATTCTCCCATCCTGAGTTTTAATTGCTTCACTCCTGGGTTGCACAGCAGCTACCCAGGACACTGTCAAACCCAGCAAGGAGTGCCACTGAATCCTCAGAAGTTCTACTTAAGCCAGGCTTCCCCCTCCTTTCTGCCCCCTCACCCAAAATATCATATTAGGGGAGCTGCGGCCAGTGGCCAGTAAGTCAAGGGAGCTATGAGTCAAAAAAGTGGGGAACCACTGGCATAGCTCTTAAATTCCAGTTCCTACTTTTTTTGTACATCCCACCATGCCTGCAATGCTGAATTATAGTTACCAGCTCTCTTTTCTGGCAGGCTCCTCGTCTTTAATGATTTTGTGGCAGGCCATTGGTATTGATATGGTCCAGTCAATGCTCACAATATCTGTGTACCTTTTGGACTACCAGTGCAGAAAGTTGAGGAATCAAACACACACACACCCCTTATTCCCAGTAAGAATTTATCACAGTTCACAAATTTCTTTAAGAATTTGCTGGAGAGAATGAGATTTTTTTAAAAAAAATAATAATAATATGGAAGAAACCAAAAGGACTAGATTTTCTTCTGTTTTAGGATTATTATCCTGGACATATCACTTGGAAAAGATACATAGGTTGCTCCAAAGTGATGAGAGTTTCACCACTTGGAGCCTGCCATTTCTATCAATTGTGTTCTCAGCAATTATTTGCTTAGCAGACTATACCATTCAAGTCCAAGGGGTGGAGGGAGTCTTTTCTGTTTGAAATGCCTTTTTCCCCCTTACTTGAATAAATTAGTTCCAATGAGCATCTTAACTTAATGCATAATGTAAAATACAAACAGAACTTTTTCCTTCATCTTCATGATGAGTTTAATCCCCAAATTTGTTTAATCCCCAAATTGCAAGCAATAATTTCCTCACCAAATAGTTAAGAAGTTGGGATTTCTTCAGATGTATTAATATACTGCTGTTTTTTAGTACAGCCAACCCCACTCACTTTATTTCCTTTAAAGGCCTAGAAAATTACCATACAAAAATGCAGGTTTTAAACTGTCTTCTTCTCATATACTCCCATTTCAGGATTCAATGGTTTAATGTCTCTTTATTAATCTTTTCTGAAGGTTAAGTGCTTAATTACTCATTCCCTCCCCAGCATCTTCTGCATCTGCTACATAAAATGAAATTTCTCAAAAAAAAGAGGCTCTTTATCATGCTTAGCTGTGAATTTAGATAATCGTGGCACAGCCACCCTTGAGAATGGCATTGATTTAAATCTTCTAGTCCTACCTCTTGCGACTGCCTTAGATAGTCACAGATCTGTACCATGTGCCTTGCTGTTTCTTGATTTTTCCTTTTCTGATGCATACAGTTGATCTGATCCAAACCTAGACAAACAGAAAAAAGCAACACATGTGGAACTTAACAACAAAACATATGTAGTTTTGTTTAAAAAGAACAACAACCCAACTGCAAGTCTGTTTTTATTCTGCATATCAGAGCAGCATAGCCTTCACAAAGGCAATGTGTGATGTCAAGAGACACTGGGGGTGCACTTGCAGCTCACCATGCTAGACAAAAGAAGGGAAAGGAGGCCTCACTTCCCAAGCTTTTTCTGGCTTCTTGTCCTTTCCAGAATGCTGTTCCCTGTCATCATAACCCAGGAAGTGGGACTGAATGGAATTAGATGGATTTGCAGGAGCAGGGTAGGGAGGTAAAAAGAAGGCCTATAGGCACGGGAATGGGGTAGCCCAAATTCAGACTGGTTTGACAATCTGTTTAGCTATTATCAAATTTGGAAGAAAGCTGTTCAGCTTTTTCCTGAGGCACCCGGATACCAACTTGGAAAAGGAAGCATCCTTCACAGCTCTTCTCAGCTGAGTCTACGGTTGACTAACTGCCCTGGATTAAGCTACATACAGCTTCATTCTATTATGTCTACATTTCCTCGACAACAGCAGATCTGAAATATGTGCCATGCAAGTGTTACTCAAGTAGAAAGAAATACACCACTAGAATTGGAAGAAAACCACTCCCTTTGTAAGTTCTGTGCCAGAAATGGAATTTACTGTCCTCACAATCCCTATTCACGGATTGCTGCCTTGTTGTGGCGAAGGGGCTTGAGTAATTCAGATAAGCTATGGACTATGCCGTACAGGGACACCCAAGCCAGACAGGTCATAGTGGAGAGTTCTGACTAAACGCGATCCACCTGGAGCAGAAACTGGCAAGCCACTCCAGTAGCTTTGCCAAGAAAACTCCATGGACAGAAACAAAAGGCTAAAAGATATGACGCTGGAAGATGAGCCCCTCAGGTCAGAAGGCATCCAACATGCTACTGAGGAAGAGTGGAGGACAAGTACAAGTAGCTCCAGAGCTAATGAAGTGGTTGGGCCAAAGCCAAAAGGATGCTCAGCTGCAGGCGTGCGTGGAAGTGAAAGGAAAGTCTGATGCTGCAAAGAAAAATACTGCATAGGAACCTGGAATGTAAGATCTATGAACCTTAGTAAGCTGGATGTGGTCAAACAGGAGATGGCAAGAATCAACGTAGACATCCTGGGCGTCAGTGAACTAAAATAGAAGGGAACTGGCAAATTCAATTCAGATGATTATCATATCTACTATTCTTTGGCAAGAAATGGAGTAGCCCTCATAGTCAACCAAAGAGTGGGAAAAGCTGTACTGGGATACAATCTCAAAAATCAATGATTTCAATACGAATCCAAGGCAGACCTTTCAACATCACAGTTATCCAAGTTTATGCACTAATCACAGGTGCTGAAGAGGCTGAAATTGACCAGTTCTATGAAGACTTACACACCTTCTAGGAGGCGGAGCTTGATCGCAGTGAAGCCAGCAGCTCCTGGCTAACAGCTCCCAGGAAAAGTTGGAACTGCCCAGCCCGTCGTCCCTCTAGAAAGGGGGGGATGGAAGGGGAGGCCAGGAGAGGTCACCCCAAAGCAGATGGTGAGCCCAGAAGGTAGAAGATTTGGCAGCAACTGGGTCTTTGTTCCCTCTGAAAATTCACCCAAGCACGGACCGGAGACGGAAGGCCATCTTGTGGCAGAATGCTGTGTGAAAACTCCACCCCCAATTCCAGAAGAAGAAGAACAAAAATACGGCCAAAAATACACAATAATAAAGTAAGTCTTTGATTTATGAATAACCTCATTAAGATGTTAAAGAAACTAAAGTGAAAATACTTGACCAAAAGGAGAGAGGAAGCGGCGAGCCAGCATGCCAGCCTGTGTTTTTTTTTCAAAGCGAGCTGAGTTTTAAACAACAAGTTTACAACTAGCAGACTGGCTCAAGGTCAATGAGATAAGACAGCGAGGCGGAAAAAGTTTGTGTTTCTGGAAAAAAATCCCAGTCGAAATATTACTCAACAATCTGTAAGGAACTGAAATCTTGTTAATGCTGTGCAGTCTGGATTCTTCTTACTAGTTTGAGTGAGACTTTGAAAATAAAAGCTTGTCTTGGGGGCAGGAGGCATAAGCTTGTGGGAAGAAAAAACAGGCGACGAATTATCAGTGTGGCGACATAGATTGAAGAGCTGGAGAAGCCCTCTAGGAGCAACGGACAGTGAATCATCAGCTCGTGAGCGAGAGGAATTTAACAGAATAGACTGAGGACTTAAAAAAAATCAGGGCCGGAGTTACTGAAGGAATATAACGATATTTTTTTGGAGAGACTGGCTCCCTGTGTTTGCTGTGTTCAGACTATCTAATTGGGACTATCTGAATTTGCTGTGGATTCTGATAATATTGCTATAATATCTGGATAAGGATACTATCTGGACAATATCTGGACAAGGAGGACATTTCTAGGGGTTTTTTGGTTTGTTGATAAATTGTGGAATCAAAAAAATATTATTTACACAAACTATATGTACTGGAGAGATGGAAATGACCTCCGAAATGTTGGGAATTTTGCCAGATAATGAATGGCTGGTTACTATGCAAATGACAATAATAACAGGATTCCAGCAGGTAAATGAGCACCTTAACCAGGTGGAAGATCTTATTAAAGGGAAATCAGCAGAGGTAAAACAACAGTTAAATGAAATGGCCCTAACTCCAAAACAATTTATACCGAGAGCTATGCCAGGTACTATAGATGAGAGTAAGAGGTACTCTGTGAGCTACTCAGCTATAATAGCCAGAAAAGGTGATGTTAAAAATCAAACTACTGTCCTGTGGTGATGTTAAAAATCAGACTACTGTCCTGTACACAATTTTATTTTCCCGAAACAGGAAGAAAACAGAGTTACAGAAACAAGAGAAGGGCACTGAGAAAATATAGGAAGTGCTAGAAATGGAGAACTTTCCAGGCAGGCTGAATGCACGTACAAGACAGAAGGAAATTGAAAGAGGGGATGTATTTTATAATTGGTCTCAATTTCCTGATAGAGTTGAAATAACTTACATTTAAATTTAAATATGAATATAAGATGATATTTAGAGGGTAACCAAATAGTGTGTGTGTGTGTGTGTGTAGTTGTTTTTTGTACTGAAAAACGAATAGACCATATGCATGTATACTTAATATGAATAGATTGAATGATTGTATACTATGTGCTCTCCTATCTTCAAAACCCTTCTCCCATCCCTTAGACTTCCTTTTACCTTTTGTATTCCCTACCCTATTCCTAGTACTGTAGTTTAAAAAATGAAAAAAAAAGATTTACTTCTAGAACTGGCACCAAAGAAAGATGTTTGTCTCACTATAAGGGATTGGAATGCTAAAGTAGGGAGTCAAGAAATAAAAGGAACAACAGCTAAATTTGGCCTTGGCGTTCAAAACGAAGCAGGGCAAAGGCTAATAGAGTTTTATCAAGAGAACAAGCTGTTCGTCACAAACACTCTTTTCCAACAACACAAGAGACGAATCTACACATGGAAATCACCAGATGGGAAATACCGAAATCAGATTGATTATGTTCTCTGCAGCCAAAGATGGAGAAGCTCTATACAGTCAGCAAAAACAAGACCTGGAGCTGATTGTGGCTCTGAACATCAGCTTCTTATAGCAAAACTCAAGCTTAAACTGAAGAAAGTATGAAAAACCACCGGGCTAGTAAGGTATAATATAAACTACCACACAATTACACTCATTTTACACACTAGCAAAGTTATGCTCAAAATCATACAAGGTAGGCTTCAGCAGTATGTGGACTGAGAACTCCTAGAAGTACAAGCTGGATTTCGAAGGGGCACAGGAACTAGAGACCAAATTGCTGACATGAATTGGATTATGGAGAAGGCCAGAGAGTTCCAGAAAAATATCCACTTCTGCTTCCTTGACTATGCAAAAGCCTTTGACTGTGTGGACCATAGCAAACTATGGCAAGTTCTTAAAGAAATGGGAGTGCCTGACCACCTTATCTATCTCCTTAGAAATCTATAGTGGGACAGGAAGCAACACTTGGAACTGGATATGGAACAACTGATTGGTTCAAAATTGGGAAAGGATTACAACTTATTTAACTTATATGCAGAATACATCATGCAAAAGGCTGAACTGGAGAAATCCCAAACTGGAATTAAGACTGCCAGAAGAAATATCAACAACCTCAGATATGCAGATGATACCACTCTGATGGCAGAAAATGAGGATCAATTAAAGAACCTCTTAATGAAGGTGAAAGAGGAGAGCACAAAAATGGTCTGAAGCTCAATATCAAAAAAATAAGATCATGGTGACTGGTCCCATCACCTCCTGGCAAATAGAAGGGGAAGATATGGAGGCAGTGACAGATTTTACTTTCTTGGGCTTCATGACCACTGCAGATGGTGACAGCAGCCACCAAATTAAGGGACCCCTGCTTCTTGGGAGAAAAGCTATGGTTTTCCCTGTAGTGATATACGGAAGTGAGAGCTGGACCATAAAGAAAGCTGACCACGAATAATTTATGCTTTTGAATTGTGGTGTTGGAGGAGGCTCTTGAGAGTCCCCTGTACTGCAAGGAGATCGAGCCTATGAATTCTGAAGGAAATCAACCCTGAGTGCTTGCTGGAAGGACAGATCCTGAAGCTGAGGCTCCAATACTTTGGCCATCTCATGAGAAGACTCCTTGGAAAACACCTTGATGTTGGGAAAGTGTGAAGGCAAGAGGAGAAGGGGATGACAGAGGATGAGATGGTTGGACAGTGTCATCGAAGCAACCAATATGAATTTGACCCAGCTCCGGGAGGCAGTGGATGATAGGAGGGCCTGGCATGCTCTGGTCCATGGGGTCACGAAGAGTTGGACATGACTAAACGACTAAACAACAACAAATCCTCACAATCAAATTAAAACAAATACTCTTTTAACATGCATTGTGGGGTGCAATTAGAATAGTAGCACTGTTAGTTCTGCAGAAGAGCAGGTATGCTGCTTTGTTTCCAGATCTCTTTTAAGATTGTTATTGTCTGCATATATCACCAATGCCATCCTATCAACCACTGCAGAACAAAGGCATTACCAATGACACACTCTCTGTGTGTCCTTGTCTCCTATTTTATTAGCAGTCATGTTGGTGTTGTATGACTTTGCTTGCTCCTCCAGACCTGAACCCGCAGGATTTGCACATTCTTCATAAGAACCTGTAACAGTCTGTCTCCAGAATGAGTTCTCTGAGAAGGATCCCTGTAAGCCATTTATAGCCCCTGGTTGGTATTGTGCATCTTTATTGGTTTAAGATTACATACCTAGCTCATTGAAGTGAGACACATTTAGCCAATTAGTTCTGTGTTCCTGTTCATTCCCTAAAATTCTGGTCTCCCATGGCTCTGAACTAACTTGGGTGCTTTGTGGACAACTGTCTACTGTGATCATCTGCCAAAGTACAGGAAAAAAAAGAAAAAGAAAAAGAAAAAGAATTATCAGTCTAAGACCACATGCCATTGAACATAAGTTATATTTATCATGTTTTGACACGATGGCACTTTCCCCTATTCTGGATATAAAGTTTCCTGCTTCATATAGATAAATGAACACAGATTTTTAAAATGTATTCATTTATTAGGATACATAATGACATGACTTGATATAAATAGAATCAAGGGGGCGGGATGCTCATCCCTAATGTTTCCAAAGTCAAAGCCAAGGTTTTAATTAAAACATGTTCCGTCTACCAAATGATAAAATCCAGTGAAGCGCAAAGCAACTGGATTCTGTTCTCTAAAATTCCTGATCATCCATTATACCTGTTATATCTTGAAAATTCATAACATGACCCCTTCAGAGCAAAAGATTTTAAAAAAATCTCTGTTAGTTAAAGGAATCATATGACTGGTCCGAATAAGGTTTTAAAGGTTCCCTTCCAGTTCTGCCATTCTAAGATGATGATGACGAACTCTAGCAATTATTTCTAAATGTACATATATTCATGTAAATTAGCATATGCATCCCGATTTTGGTGTTGTATGTCCTCTTTATAAAGCAGTGTTTCCCAACCTGGGGGTCAAGATGCTCAAGTGGGGGACACAACATGTTTCCAGAGGGGTTGCCTTACATGTGTTGCAGCCCTTGTTAATAATTTATTCAGTGTATTCGTGAAGGCTTTCATAGCCGGGATCTAATGGTTCTTGTGGGTTTTTTGGGCTCTTTGGCAATGTTTTGAAGGTTGTTCTTCCTAACGTTTCGCCAGTCTCTGTGGTCGGCATCTTCAGAGGACAGCACTCTGTGCTCTGGTGTAGTTTGCTTGGGAGTTGAGTATTTATGGCTGTGAGATAGGCTTTTGTCCTTTTCAGGAGAATGGGTGATTAGTGTGTCTTGTTGTGTGCATGTCACTACACATAAAAGACCAACTAATGACACCCATCAATCACAGTGACAGATAATCTCTCCTCCTTATCAAAACACACCCACAAGAAGACACACTAATCACCCATTCTCCTGCAAATGGTGTCAAATATGGTGTTGTTTAAAGACCATTCGTGCAACCTCGATGATAATCAACTGAGATGGTCTGCCAAGGAGTTGTCTCCTGTAGTTATGTGAACCACTATTGGGAATATATGGTGTAGGTAACACCAATCCCATAAGTCGATGATGAGTTTTTTTTTGTTTGTTTGTTTGTTTGTTTGTTTTGGAGGCTGAACAAGGAGGAGGATCTCAAAGTGATATGGAACTTTGGTAATCCATGTAATGCTGTTTTTGTTTTTTTTTTTACTGCATCACAGCTGAGAGAAGTGAAATTAACTTTGTCTTCTCTCCCTTAACCCCTCATCCCAAGAACTGGCTTTTCATAAACTAGAAGCTTGAGAACTTTAAATAACACTGAACAATTTAACCTATGTGACTGCATCAAGCTGCAAAGGTGGATTACAAATCAAATAACATTCTTACTATGGCTGGATTTACAACTAGAATGCTCTCTGCAGTTCGGGCTGGCTAATAAATTTTGAGAGAAATGTGAGCAATTAGCCTGTTTGTTTTTTATTATTTATGGACTGGAGATAGAGTGTGAGACTCATCACTGATATCCATAATGGAGGTTGATTTTAAGAGTTGTTTTCAGGAATTCCAATTGAACATTGTAAATCAAATCAAGGCCCAAATTTCAGAAGCCAAGGCAGAAATCAAGGTGACACTTTGTGGATTGGAGATGGAAGAAAAGCCAACTGAACCCATTGAAATGACTGAAGAAGTGCTATTGTCAGAGAGAGAGAGAGAGAGAGAGAGAGAGAGAGAGACTTTTCTTTATAGAAAACAAATGCTCAAAAAGGAGGAAAGGGAGGGGTGGGGGAATGTGGGGGGAAAACATATTGAGATTGTCTTGATGGGAAAGAAGGTGAAGGGGGAGAAATGGGTGAACTTGGGGGCAGAAATTTATGATCAGAAGTCAGATAGATACACTATACTCCAAAGACAGGGCACTGATTATATTGGGATGAAATTAGAAAATCGCAGAGAAAATGCTTTAAAGAGATTTTAAGGATGGCATTTTAATGATGAAATCAGAAATGCTTATGATGATAATTGAATAGAGGGGGATGCAGGTAAAAGAATTCAAAAAAATTATTATGGACATAGTACAATTCAGTATGGGAGTAGGGCATAAGATCAGTTCTAGTCAGAATTATATAATGAATAAGTTTGAATGGGAAATACCTCCCCGCATATATGTTAGTTTATTAGTTTAGTTTATTTGATTTATACCCCACCTATTTGGCCCAACGGGCCACTCTAGGTGGCTATGTTTTGTTGGTTTTATGTTTTTGATTGTCTTAGATGTCTTTGTTTTGTCTGTATGTATGTGTCATAGAAATAAAAAGAGAGAGAGAGAGGTACCACAACTGAAGAGACCTCATCTTGAGTGGGGCGTGTTGTATAACTGAAGTGGCTGACGCCATAAGCCCGAGAAGGTGTTGTACCTGATGGGCCAACACCAAAGTGTGAGGTCAAAATGGTTGAATAGCATTTTTTTAATTTGAGGATTCTTTCTTGCAGGAGAAAGGCTCTGGCTTGAAGGGAGTCGAAACGAGCTCCAATGTAAGTGGTTGTTTGAGATGGTTCTAGGCATGATTTCTTGAGATTTACTTTGAGACCAAGCTCTTGCAGCATATCAAGGGTAATATATGTGGCTCTGATGGCATTGTGATGTGATGTAACAACTATTAGCCAATTGTCTATGTATGGGTAGATGTTGATACCCTGGAGCCAAAGGTATGCGGTGACTGGTGCCATGCATTTTGTGAATGTTCTCAGTGCTGTGGACAGCCCAAAAGGGAGGGTGAAGAACTGATAGATGATGTTGTCGAACCAGAACCGAAGAAGTTTGTGATGATGATACGGATGGATGGAAATATAGAAGTAAGCATCCTGGAGATTGATCAAGATGAACCAATCTCCCTGTGAAAGCAAAGGAATGATAATGTCTAATGTGAGCATTCAAAAACATTGGGGTCGAATAAATTTATTAAGAATTCTGAGATCGGGTGTAGGTCGAAGTCTTCCATCCTTTTTGGATACAGTAAAGTACTGTGAAAAAAATCCATTATTGATATCATGTGAAGGGACTTCGATAATGGCTTGTGTCTGTAGAAGGAGACTTCTTCCTGAAGAATTGTTGACAATTTTTGATTTTTCCAATTTTTCCAATTGGTGGAGACAATCTGAATTCATAAAGTAACCATGTTTGATAAAAGAAAGGACCCTTTTATCTTTGGTTATGGATTGCCATGAATGGAGAAATGAGGTTAATCTACTTTCAAAATAATTATGGAATTGGGAAAAATGTGATAAAAGATTACAGGTACTGCTTACCCTTTTTCTGGGGTCGCCGAAAGGACTGTCGATGCTGTTGCTGTTGGTTTTGAAAGGATGACGGTGCCGATGTTGATTGTCCTTGAAATTGTTTATCAGTTACCTGTGGTCTGTACTGATGAAACTGATGGAATTGTTGGTAAGGCTGTTGATAGAAAGGCTGTCAACGGAATTGTGGGCACTGTTGGAATCTATACTGTTGTTGAACCAAATAGGACCGAGCAGTTTTATGTATTTTGTGTAAGTTTTCCATAAGGTCATCTGTTTTTTGATTAAATAGTCAGAACCGTCAAATGGTAAGTCCTCAATCCTTGATTTGGCATCATTGGAGAAGCCAGTGGATCTAAGCCCTGCATGACGTCGAAGCGCAATAGAAGTGGTCAGTGACATCGGCAGTATGTCAAGATGCAATGTGTCGCTGCTTGGCAAGACTGGAAGCTTCTGCATAGATGTTCATCACTTCTGTCTTTACTGATTCCAGGGCCAATTCAAGAATAGGGAGAATTTTACTCCAAAGTTGTTTTTTGTATGCGCCCATTGCTGCCTGGTAATTCAAAACTCGAAGGATGAAGGAGGTGAGTGAATGTGGGCATCTTCCTAGTATATCTAGCTTTCTACCCTCTCTATTGGTAGGTGCTACTGAAGATTTATTACGGGCTTTAGACTGATTGGACTCAACAATTATCGAATTAGGTGTTGAGTGTTTTGACAAAAATCCGGTATCTGGTCCATGTGTTTTATAGTGATTTTCCATGCCTCTGGGTATCTGTAAAGAAGATGGAGGTTTATCCCATGACTCCTTGATTAATTCCTGAGTGAGATCATCAAAAATTAAATCTGGTTTGGAAGGTGGAGGCTCTTCGATATGAAGTTGGAAAGATTTAGCCATTTTAGATACTAATTGAGAGTATGATGTAAAGTTTTCGGAAGCTGAAGGCGGATGATATTCGTTAACGTCTGATGTTGGTGTCGGTAAATTACACAGTGATTCTTGAGAGGTATCGGAATTTAACTCTTGACTAGATAGTGAAGATGAAGAAGGTGATTGATCTCTAGGTCTTGGTGTACTCGGTACAGCTTGAATTTGTTGTATTGGAGGAAGCTGGTATGTAGACTGCCTTTGTGGATCAACAGAGGGAGGTGGTCCCTTGTAGGTAGTAGTCACTTGCAAAGATGGGTGGGCTTTAGAAGAGTGTTTGGGTATTTTAGCGTGAGAGTTTTGAACTGTAGTCGAGGAAAACTTAAGTGTTGGTTTAGGTGGAAGAGTGGGATAATCTGATAGGTATTGTTGAGATCAATGGTGTCGTCAAGATGGAGATGGAGATATAGAAGGTGAGTACTGGGATGAATATGGTAGTGAGTAGCGGACCCTTTTGGGTTCATCATAATATAACTGTTCCTGAGGATATTCAATCAGGTAAGGATCATGGTAGTAGTATTTCTCTCTCCCCTCAGCCCGAGCATGATGTTGGGGCTGTTCAGTGAAATAATAATATTCTCGATGAGGAGGATCGTATTGTGGGGGAGAAAGATGTCTCCTTTTCTCCTTATGTTTTCTTGGGGAGTTATGTGGTAATTCTGAGCCCGATATCTCAATATGGATTGCCCACCCTGATGATGCAGGGCTTGAATGGGCCGATGCTTGGCTGGATTGTGTCTCAGCCACAGAAAGGCAAACACTCAGTGACCTGCTGCCAGTAGAGATTGCAACCTGTGCTGGCATGAGATGGTTCTTCTCTCTCTGAAATGGATCCCGGTGCGTCCCTAGAAGATTCTTCCAAGATTGGTAATGGAAGCGTAGTCTGTGGTGGGTCAATCCAGGTCGATTTAATAGTCTTTCTAGCTTTTTATATGTTTTGTCCTTCTTCTTTTGAGAAGAATCTGGGTGTCGAGTTGAGGATTTCAATGTCAATCCCGACTTCAATTTCGACATTGGTTTTGATTTCTCCTTGGTATGTGGAGGAGGAGTCATCAGAATGGGAGACAGCATAGATGAAACTTGTCACTCAACCTGTGGATCTGGTGATTGTGTCCCTTCCATGGAAGTTGGGTGAAGGGATTTTTCCCAGAGGTACGATCTGAGTCTTTGGAGACAAAGCTTCAGAGCAGGTTTGGTCAGCTTCTTACAGGCAACACAGGAGTGCGTAGGGTGTTGCTCTCCAAGACAGAAGAGGCACTTATCGTGCCCATCAGTTAACAAGATTTTATTAGAGCACACCACACACCGTTTAAACAGGCCTGGGGTGGTCATAAAGATTGGGTAAAACAGCAGGAAAATGGTTGAGAATGTGGGGGAAGTAAAACGTGGTTAAGAAAAAACTGGAAAGAACTCACAGGGGAATGTCAGTGAACGTAAAATCAATAATCAGGAACGGAAGTTGTTAATTAGAAGTAGAATAAGCTGAATCAAGATGATTAAAGTGCTAAGTCTAAAAATTGCTCTCTCTCTCTATCCGAAACAAGTCAGAATGACGAGGTGGAAAAAAGGAACTGAGGGGAATCTAGGATGGGCGGAGCATGCACTCCATGGGGGAACATCCCACTAAAGATGTATCTTTAAGTTCTAGAATCTTCTGAGACATTCAGCGCAGGCACAGAACAACCCAATTGTGTGCAATCACAGAGGCCACAATGAAGAACCTTGACCTGAGCTTTCATTTTCCTTGAACAAAAAAGTTACAATACTAATGTGAAATTCAAATTTTGTTGATACTTACTGGTACCTGAAGAGTTTTCTGTTTCTTCTTCAAAGACTTTCTTTCTCTTCTTCCAGATCTTGCTTTTGCCCGTACTGACTGACATAGCTCCACAGATCTTGATAGTTCTAAGGAAAAAGGCACGGAAAACAGCCAAATTGATAAGTCAAATAAATTATTTTGGAAAAAGAAATGAAGTTTCATGCTTAAATGACTTATAGTGCAATCTTAGGTGTGCCTGCTCAGAAATAAGTCTCACTGAATTCCGGAAAGCTTCTTAATTCTGGGACAACGGATTGCAACTTTACAGGACTTTCACACCTAGTCATTGCTCTACCATGATGTTACAGCTGGTACAACGGAGTCACCAACATAACGGTTGAAATCCCGTGGCTTAGCCTAGTTAAGTCTCACTAGCACTTATGGAGAAGAATCCATATTTCTTTGAACCCAAATTTCCTTGTTACAAAAACAAAAGTTACGACCTGAATCATGATCATGTTGGGAATGTGGGGAGGTAATGTTGTGAAGCTGACAGATATAATGACAGTTTTAACAATTAAAACTTCAGGTCCAGTATCACAGAAGGGAGTTCTAGAATTAACAAATCCCTGTCCCATAATTTGTCTGTGCTGCCTCCTGCCAGCTTGAGAACTCTCAGTCCCATCATTCAGCCTGGGGAATTTCTGCTGAATGATGGAACTGGGAGTCAATTAATTCTGAAAAACCCATCTCTTAGCCACTATCTTGATAAACCCCACAAGCATAGCACTGGCTGTTCTGCAAGGGGAGGGTGGGTTTTCTTCCTGGAGAGTTGCATTTCCACAACAGCAATGAATCTACAAACACTGAAGTCCTACCTTACGACCTTTTTGATTTGAAAGAGGATTGCATAAAAAACACTGAATGGTGCATCTACTTCCAGAGAAGCACACAGAGATAGTCAGTTGGGTATCAAAGTTCTACATCAAAGTTAATTGAAGAGGCCAACTTGGATCAGTAAACGCCAATTTTAAATAAGTGAAGCTGGCTTCTTTATTTATTTGGGCTATATTAGCTCTGGTATGTTGTTGCAATGGGGATTCTTCCTGACAGTAAGTGCTTGCTTTTCTTTCTTCAATTGTAAATTTTCAAGCTTTCATTTCTTTAAAAAGCTGCTGCACTTACGTTTTGATAACTGCCAATTAGAGATGGGCATGAAATGAACCACAAAGCAAAAAAAAAAAAAAAAAAAAAAGTTGCATCCAAATTGGGCTGTTTCATGATTTGTTTCTGGGCACTTTGGGGAGACATATCTGCCCAGTATGAAATGAAATACCAACTATTAGCCAACTGCTAAAAAAACTCTGGTGGCACCTGTTTTGGGAGGCTATAACTCAGATGTCCATAATTCAATCTTCACCAAATTTGGAGGGAGTGGAGAGGAGATTCAGCCAAATAATTGCTGCAACACTGGTGTCTCCAACTCATGCAGGAACCATTCAACTCCTCTTGGAACTCTCAAATCACACAAACCATGAAATGGTTGATTTAAACAGAAAGTTCGTGAAAGTTTGTGGTTTGTGAATAGCTATGAATTACAAACCATAACGAGCTGCCATTTTCCCAGTTTGTGCCCATCTCTACTGCGGATTTATGAAAATATAATTAATCACTTGAAGAGGTTACTCGGCTGAAATAAATATTCATTTCTCACAAAGTTATCTTTATTTTGTTTGCCATAGAACTCTGAACTGGAATATTTGTATGCTTTAAAATTGAGAAGATGACAGGGAAAGGAAGCAGATCTAAGATGGCTCAGAATAGGAATAGAGGGGAATAACTACCCTGTTTCCCCGAAAATAAGACCTAACCTGAAAATAAGCCCTAGTATGATTTTTCAGGATGCTCGTAATGTAAGTCCTACCCCCAAAATAAGCCCAAGTTAAGTGAAATCCCACCCTCCATCATTGTGCACCATTGTGCAGCAACCAGAAGATGACATGACTCTATTTGAATAAATGTAGATTGTTGAACATGACAAAAATAAAACATCCCCTGAAAATAAGCCCTAATGCATTTTTGGAGCAAAAATTAATATAAGACCCTGTCTTATTTTCAGGGAAACACGGTAACTCAAAACCAGAACCCAACAATGACTAGAACCATGAAAACTAAATAGATCTGAAAACCCTAAAGCTTTTTACTGGAAAGTGCTTTTCTGCATAGCAATATGCATTTCTTTTTTTAAAACATCTATATTCTACCTTTCATCAAAGTTCTAGGTGAATAACAAAAAAAGAGAAAAAATACAAGCATCATTTTAAAAACCTAAAACATTAAACACAGAAAATGTTACAAGATAATTTGTAAAATGTCAGGGGGAGGGGAGAGAGAGAGAGACAGCAGCAGAAGACTGTGAGATGAAATCATACAAGAACAACAAAACTAATTAGATAGCACTGACAAAACAGCATGTTATTGCCTTTTATCTTGCAGGCTTTCCTCACTTTCTCTGCAGTGTGGGAGCAAAAGCCACTTCCTTCTTGAAAGGACCAGTTCTTCCTAAGTGAGCCGATCAAGACTGATGCACTGCGCTGAAGACGAGACTGTGAGCAATCACTACTGTACCCTGATTTGTCAGAGCTGTGGCAGAATAATTTGGATTTCTTTATTGGCTTGTGCTGAGGACTAGAACTGTGGTCATAATGATCAGCAGGATATATGCTTGGCTGCTGCCTTGGGCTGCTACTTTCAAAACCCTTTTCATCATCATCCGAGAATCCCCAATTTACATAACCTCCTCCTGGTTCCTCATGATGAGAAGGTTGAGAGATGTCATTGACCATGCTAGGAACACTCTGGAACACTGGAACACAGTGTCCAGAAACAGTCTCGCCAACCACCTCAGATGATGAAAATTCCACTCCTTGGCTGATAACTGGCTTTCCTGTAGCATCAGCAGCAACACTGTGTACATTCAGCTGAACATGTGTGCCATCATGCTTGGTTTGGTGGTTAACCTTCAGTCTATTTTCTCTAAGCTCATTCAGAGAGCATGAAAAGGCGAAATCTAAGCCAACGTCTTCAGAGGATCCTTGTTGACCAGAAGGAATGAGAAGAAACTGTCCAAATCTAGGGGTTGATTTACTCTCTGATGATACCCCTGAGGTTAGAGTATCGCTTTTCATCTCCTGACACTTATCAGTCACTTCGATCTCATGGTAATCTAGGGCACTGAGGATGTGTTGACCAAGTCTTGATAGCCAATGGCTTGGTGCCAAGCTTTTCTGAAGAGAAGGTGGCATGCTGTAATAACTGTAATTATTGCTCATACTTTCCAGAACACTCAAAGCATTCGAATTCACAGCATTGCTCCAACTATGAGGAAGCTTCCTACAGGCTTGATATTTCTTATCCGCAAGACGGGCCTCCTCAACTTGCAAAGTATCCACAGCTGAGATGACTTTCAGAGTATCGACCGTTAAAACAGAGAGGTCCTGTAAATGTCCTAGCTGGCTGTCCAGCGCAAGCAAAGCATCTTTGATGTAAAATACTTTCTCATACACTTCCTTCAGTTGTGAAAACATTTCCTCAACCCTAGGAGAGAAAAAAGCATATACACTATGAGAAAGTTACTTTTCTGCATGTTTATAGGCTATGAAACAGTCTTAGTATTCAGAAATATCAATTTTGTTTGGAAATCAGTGTATTTTTTTATTTTTTATTTTATTTGATTTATATCCCGCCTATCTGGACCACCAGATATAGTGTTGGGCTGGGCAACTTGTGGCCCTGCAGAAGTTGCTAGAACTTCCGCTCCTTATCTGGTCTCCTCAGCATAAGAGATCATGGGATCAGCAACCCAGAAGCATCTTGATGTTGACAAGCTGCTCTATCCTGAATTAGTGGAGTAAACATATGAATGCATTCTGCACTTTACTAATCAAGTTCCATGCTCAAGAATCTGTTATAACACACTATCAATCTATAAAGTAAAATAGTTGGCAGTACTTGACTTTCTTGTTTATGGCCCAGAAGGCCTGGATGAAATGGATACACATGCATAAACAGACACAGCTCAGACTTCGTTAGAGAAAATGACACAAAAAGAAATGAGATCACGGAAGGAACAAATTAATGAAATACACTGAATATACAAAGTTCAAGAGAGAAATGCAAAATGTGCCAGAATAATAAGAGTGTATTGTTCTGTGAGCAGGGCAATGGAAGACAGTACATTCTGGAGATCATTTATTCATTGGGTCACCACCGTAAGTTGGAGGGGACTTGATGGTACATAACAATAACAACTGTTATTTCAGTGAATTTGATTGCCTACTATATTGTCTTTTAAAACTCTACAGATCTGTAACAGAGCTAATGCATGCAGATGACAAGAATTAATAAACAGGAAGGGTTTGTCCATTTGTACAGTATGCCCTTGTTTGATTCCTTGCACAGTTCTCATGCAAACACACATGCATGGCAGGTCCCAAGTCTCCCAAAACAACTTCAGCCCTCAACCTCTTTTCATTTAGATTGTGAAATTATACAGTGGTGCCCTGCATAGCGACGATAATCCGTGCAGCCAGAGTCATCACTATGTGGATTCGTCGCTATGCAAAATAAAAAAAGCCCATAGGAATGCATTAAAACCCATTTAATGCGTTCCTATGGGCAAAAACCTCACCTTTAAGCGGAAATCCTCCATACGGCTGCCATTTTCGCTGCCCGGTAAGCAAGGAATGGGCGCGAAAACACAGCGGGCGGTCATTTTTTTTACCCGTGGTAAAAAAAATACCACGGGTATTAGCTGTTCTAAAATCATAGCTATGCGAAAATCAGTAAGCAAAACAGCGTACCGATCGTCGCAAAGCAATTTTTTACTATTTAAATCATCGCAATGCAATTGCTTTTGCAATCACAAAAACTTAATCGCTATGTGGATTCATCGTTAAACAGGGCGCCCGTTAAGTGAGGCACCACTGTACTTATACATTAAAAAGTCCAGTCCACAAGTTAGCTGGGATAAATGCTTCCTTCCTTCATCAGAGGCCTCTATTTTGATCACTGTCAGCTTAGTTGAGTAACATCAGGGAAGCTTTCAAAGACTTCATCAGAACAAAATAGGTTATGCATTACTGATAGTCAAGACTCTTAAAAGATACTATGATGGTTGATCAAAACCAGCATAGCAGATTGGAGAATCTGCAGCCTTCAGTAATAGGAGCTGAAGCTCAGCAAAGTGTGTGGCAGACCACTGGTTCTTTATCCCTGCCATACAAGGTGCTGTATACTTAGACAATGGAATATGTTTTCATCTTGAAAATACTCAAGGAGATCAAAAAGTTTACTTTTCTCTAGAGCATCTGTTAATCAATATAAAGTGGCATATGAACAACAATGCTTCTCAGCATTACAATCCTGAATATATTTAATTCCATCTGTTTAAACACTTCAGATTTTGAACGTCAGTTTATTTTCACATGACTAGGAAATTTCATACAAGTTGCAGTACAACCAGTATTGCCACAGGATCAGCCTTTTTACCTTTCAGTTGTAAAACGAATCCTCTCACTGTCGCTGGAATGCAGACTCTCATTCTTCTCATGAAGGTACATTTCCACACACTGTTCTTCAAAATCATGAAGTCTTTTTAGTTCTTCGTCACTCAGGTACAGCTCTGGGTTACAACAGTAAGAAGTAAATTTTAACCACAGTGATGCAGAGACTTACATCTCAGGGTCAAATTACATGTGATGCTAAACCTGTTATTTGCAGTCTAGGATGGAGAAGAATGTTGTTGGATTGGGGAGTCTCGCATCAAATAGATTTTAACACCTCCTGACTACAGTAAAATGCTGGTGGGGTTCAAAAAATGTAACAAGATGGAGACTGTAAGATTTTCATATCCTTACTTTTGGTGATATATGGGTGAAAAAAGAGAAAGGAAGCGGAAATAAAATAGGGACTATGGCATGTAGAGAATGGCTCTGTCGTCCCAGCACAACAGGCCATTTGCAACTTGGCACCAAAGAAATGCTACAATTGAGCCAAATAGCAGGTTCAAACCTCCATCTAGAGATGGTTAACAAATATATGGTATTTGTAACAGGCCTTATCAAACTTCTGTGGCACATTGTCACCCATTCTAGAACACATTTGAATCAGTTTCTCTCCATTTTTTGTAATAAACACGTCCGTGTTTTTCTAAAGGACGCAGGTCTGAAGATTATATATATACTTGTTAGTCCTTGGTAGACCCCACATGGTCTTATTATAGCTGAAATCCTTAGCTTCCAAAGCTGGGAAGACAAATAATTGCCATCCCTCATTTAATGGCTGGAAGACTGTAACGATGCATTAATGTGTCATCTATGGATGCCAGGGACAATTTTGTTTTTTTATTTTTGTACACAGCTAGCTTATAGTAATGAATATGTCACCACATCAGTCATATCTTCCATATTTCCACTTTTCTTCCCCCTTTTCCCCTTTGTTTCTTTTCTCCTTCTTTTTCCTGCTTTTTATTTATATTTTTAAATGAACAATAATAGTTTTTAGCAATTAAAAAAAAATAAGGATTTCAGCCATTACTGAGGGCATGTGTGTTTCTGTTTCTTAACTACTGCCCTTATGGGCTGCTATAACTCGCCCTCACAATTTGTTCAGGAAAAAAATACCTTCTTTATTATTTTCACAATACTGTTGTTCTGAAAATATTAGTGGTGATTACATAAAAAATGTAAGACAACAAGTAAAAGTTGAATTTGCATAGTTTAACATATAGATAAGTCCTTCTCACACCTCGATAAATCAGTTACAGTATATATTGACCCAATAGATTGCAACCTAATTGCAAGTCATATATGTTCTCATAAGGAATTAATCGGGTTGCTACAGAAGCATATTTGCACTCAGATACCACTAGGTGGTGCTAACTTCTTACATCTCATCTCTTCTACTCGGATGCATCCAGAAAATCTACTACGCTCATACCTGATGTGCTAAAACAGAAACAACTAGGGAGTGCAGGCTAGAGGGAAGAGTTTCAGCTGTTCTGTCACACAGAAATTCCTGTGAAGTCATACTGACTCACTGCAGGAAGTATATAGAACAACTCTTACCTTTAGGAACAATAAAAGCATCAAGTTACAGAATCTTGATCATAGGTTTTACATTCAGGGGCCAAAATTCTGTTGGTTAGCATAGTGATTGTATTTTTTCCAGCGTATTTAATGTGTTTTGGGGTTTTTTGTTATAGTTGTACTATTTTTATTCATTGTTGCCGTCACTGATTGTTATACGCCCAGAATAGTGCTTTGCACTAATGAGACAGTTATAAAAATCTAAGAAATAAAATAAAATACATCACACTAGAGTAGGCTCCTTGAATCAACGGGGATTTGGTAAGTCGGCTCCTCCATAGGTTCTACAGATGCAAATGGGCCTACTCCAACTGTGACTTACTATGCTAAGGTTTGTGTTTTTTTAAATGGGAGAATTATATATGGAGACCAATCTGATATCAGGAATGACAAGATGCAAAGGTAAAGGTAAAGTTTCTCCTTGACATTTTTAGTCCCGTCGTGTCCGACTCTAGGGGGCGGTGCTCATCCCATTTTCAAGCCGTAGAGCGAGCGCTTGTCCGAAGACATTTCCCTTGTCACGTGACCAGCGTGACTAGGGAACGCCGTTTTACCTTCCCACCGAGGTGGTACCTATTTATCTACTCGCATTTACATGCTTTCAAACTGCTAGGTTGGCAGGAGCTGGGTCAAGCAACAGGAGCTCACTCCATCGCGTGGATTCGATCTTACGACTGCTGGCCTTCTGACCCTGCAGCACAGAGTCTTCTGCGGTTTAACCCACAGCGCCACAAAAGTCAGGGTCAAAACCTCCGGGGAACATGGTTCTTCTCTCAAATGATGCATGGTAGCTTCCTGTTCTGTCTTTTAACAAAACATTTGTTTTTCTAAAAGTGTTCTTTTAAAAAGAAAGTAACTTTCTAGTCACTTCCAGTTTCATTTGAAGGGGGGGCTTACATATTCCAGAGTCCTGAGCCAGGAAAAAAATGGCTCTCAGAGCTTTCTTTCACCTGGTATGTACATATAGGTAGGTAGATTTGGAGTCAACTCACACCGGCTGTATGTTTTGGCCTTTATGGAAGAAATACAAGGACAACGTTCAGGCTATGCTTACTCAGTTCAACATGCTCTTCTTCTTGATCCAATTCATTTGGCAGCCGGCGGTGACAGAGGTGATTTACAAGGATGCCAATATGGCTCAGTATGATGAATGGGGGTGGTAGCCATGGTTTTTCATGATACGTCATGATGTATCGGTAACGGTTGTACTTCCAGAGTTTGTCCGATATGGACTTCATATCAAAATAAACATTACTGTCAATTGCAGGGGGAAAGAGGGAAGAGAGAGAAGTCCATATGATATTTTCCTAAATAATTTTTTAAAATACCTGCATCCAAGTATTCTTTAATTATTATTTAAAATAATGTAATGAAACAAGGACAAAACATTGACTAAATGAAGTGTATAGGGATAAGAAACTTGCACAAAGGCTGGGATTTCAAAGTTTGTCATAGATGTGGACACCCATTTCATACTTACTAGCTATAATTGTCATAAAGATTTTACTAAGAAAATCTCTTAACTCTTATGGCCTGTTTCTCTGAGCTGCAACAGAGAGTCAAACAACTAAGAAGAAATATCCTTCAGTTGACATGCAGAGAATTTCCAACACACCTTATTTTCAATACATATACTGTTCCACTTTATGTTATATAGCATACGGGTAGCTCTTAAAAGGCCAAAAGTAGGGATAGACGTTTGTGGTCTTCCAGATGGTGTTGGACCTCAGTTCCGATTAGCCTTTGTCAGCTGAGCTAATGGTAAGGGATCATGGCAGCTGTGGTCCAATATCACCAGAACGGCCATAATTTTTCATCTCTGCTTTCAACTCTTCAGCTGAGTCTAAACTAGCTGTATGAAACGGTTGTCCACTCAGTCTGAAACTTTTCTTTTGTCCCTAAACTTCTGAAAATAATTCCTGAAGTTATATCCCAATTGTGATTTGTTACAGATAAACAAGAATTTACTGAGTATTCAACAAAGGCATTTGCAAGACAATAAGAGATGCCATCTACTTCCAGTTAAACTAGACTTTGAGAGAAATTGCTATTTTTTTTTTCCTTTCATAACAGGATTTCCCCAGACTTGAAAATTAAGCCCAGACTTGTTTCAGACTTGAAAATGAAGCCCAGTCAATCATAAGAAAGCATCAGATACAGTATGTAAAATACATAATGGAGCAAATCAGATGCTAAGGGCAAGTCCATCACCACTAGATATAAGAGGGAGGACTTCTGGGGAAAGAAAATATAATAAATCCACCTTCTTGACAGGAGTCTTCCCTGCTCTCAACATCTTTGTTATGGGCCTTTATATTTCATATTCCCCCTCCTCAGTTTCAACTATTTCTCCTTTTTTGTGAAGCCTCTGGGATAGGTCTTTTAATGTAATCCATCCTGTAGAAACACTGGTGGAAATGATACCCGTGGAAATATCGCAGGCACTTACTTGAAGAAAGCTATCAACAGATTGACCATTATGATGTACTGTACAAAAAGATAAACAGCCTGGAGGAACGGTGTGAGGAAGGAACCAGGAGGACAGTCTGAGTCAGATTCACAAGCTGTAAATTCAGTAAGAAGATGCTGTATATTAAACTGGCACAGGAATAGTATGCTGATGAATCATAGCTCTTCCATTCATAGGCAAAGAGCATCAGCCAGGACAAAAATAATAATAGATCTTCACTGACTTTTATAAATGCAGTATCTCCAGAAATCTTAAATAATCTGTTCCATACAATATCTGGATTCTTTCCCCTAAAGTACATGTAACACTGAAGTTTGTTTGAATAATTCTTTTTTATATTAAAACAAAAGAAAGATTTAAAAAATTTGAGACACAGTTGAACTATGCCTTCATTGGGGAGTTCCATGCATTAGAATGCAGATTTTAGTGCAGTCCAAAATAACTATCTCTTCAGTTGCTCTGCAGTCTGTACTCAGGACCTCCACCACCCTACAAAGCACCTCAATATTATCAAAGATGTCTATAGCCCCATGATTGTGCACATGGCCTTTTAGGTATTATCTCATACATTCTGCTTACAGCCCTATCAAGTCACTTGATGTTATTACTACGTTCATGGAATTCATGCATCATTAGCATTATTTCTGTTTTATAAGTAAGTAATTTCATAGGATGACATCTCAAGAATGTTTAATTCCAAAACCACTCTCACTGTGTTTGGAGACCTTACACTCAAGCAAGTAGCATTATAGGGTTGCAACCCGAGGCTGAAACAGTTTTGCCAAGGCAACTCTAACAGTTGTTAAGGTGCTGACTTAATCCTCATAGGCTCAGTTATGCATATTCTTCCTCCTAGACTGAGACAAAAGCAACAGTTTTGCCAAGGCAACTCTAACAGTTCAAGGATGAGAGGGATTTAGATCTTAGCTTCTTACGTCTGTTCACTTTTTAGTGAGTAACAGTTGGGCAAAGGACCAGATATCGGCCTTTCCTCCATATTTTACAGATCATGCATCCATAAAGCAAAGGCCTTTGAAATTATTCCAGACAGTAATATGTTCTCCAACACGTGTACCTATATACAGTAATACTGTTAAAATTTTAAAGAGTTCTTATGGACTTTTTGTTAACTTAGACATTAAAGTATTGGTTGACCAAAAAATAGTGTTGTAAAAGATTAGCAGCCCAGTTCCTCCTTTGCCTCTCTCCTCTTAAGCTGCTGACTTAATCCTCATACGCTCAGTTACGCATATTCTTCCTCCTGGACTCAGACAAAAGTGCATCACAGCAATATCTTATGCACCTGGCTTTCCCTACATTTGGTAATCTAATTTCCCCCAGTTCCTGATCCTGGCTTTAAGACTATCCAATACATGCAGGCAGCAATGATACCATCACCACAGGACTCTGCCTGGGAAAAAGAGCAACCACAGAGCTGACAGAAAGGGTGAGAAGCAAGTGTGATTTGCCCAGGATTACCGTTCATGGCAAGTAAGTTGGGAAGTACCTCCATAAGACGCACAGACTTCCCCCCCCCACTTTTTTGGGGGGGAAGTGCATCTTATGGAGCAAAAAAATACGGTATCTAATTACTGCTGTTACTTTCAGAGCAGGCTGCAGTGAACGGTTAAGAAAATCCCTTACCACTTCTATCCATCCCACCTAATCTGAGTGGTTTCTGTTAACATTTAAGAAGACATGCTGTATAATGATCAGAACTTTTTAAAAGTTACTTTTTGGAATACGGTTCTCAGAATCCCCCAGCTAGCTTGGCCCCTGAGAGATGTGGGGTATGTCTGTCTGGGAACTGTATTCTAGAACAGTAACTTTTCCAGGTCCAGACAGTCATTTACATGAAGGTTGCAAGTAGCATTTTGGTGAAAGCAGACCTACCATCAATTTCTCCAGCATATACTTCACCAAATATCATCCAATATGGCTGAAAGACAATATCTCGTGCAAGAGTCCAGGATGGCTGCTCGTGTGGAGAAAGTATTGCTTTTCGGGAAACGCCAAAACTTAGCAAGACTATGGCCATTATAATTACAATATAGAACATGTTTGCTGCCTGCATAACACAGAAAATCGTGCACAGTATCAGCGTCAAGAGCAGTATCATGTTTAAAGTATGAAATACAAATAGTTCCCAGTGCATAGAGAAGCACTCACTTATTGCTATTACAATCCATAAAAACACATGTGTATAAATTGTAAATGAACTATAGAAGGGAACACATCGTACTTATGGAAGGACTAACAAATAGGAAAAAATTATTTTTACAAAACTGAAAAAGGATACATAGGTTGCATTCACACAGAATAATAAGCTATTATTCTGTAGAATCCTGGTTGTGTACTAGTTTACAAAGTGTTTTTCCACATTCCCTCCTGCTAATGCAATGGCAAAACAAACCTGGAATGGGTTAGTGTGCTGTTCAAACTGGCAAAATGTTAGGAGGAAAAACCTCCAGAACACGGTCAAACAGCCTGAAAAACCTACAACAACCATCGAATCCCGGCCATGAAAGCCTTCAAGAATACATTGACTTTACTAGCTTTAGTCCATCCACTCAGCATTTTCTGTAATAGCAACATCTAGAATTTTTTTAACTTCCACAATGACATTATAATACTGTTATGGAATTCACAATCACAATGACAAGAAACAACCATGAGGCTTCAACGATGTTTTTGGGTGAGTTTTAAAAACCACAGATACAGATATCTGTATCTACATCCATAAGAGCAGGTGGATCCTCTGCGTCCTGGGTTCATAGTAGCCTGGAGCTGAGGACTAGCTACAGAGGATTTGAACTTCAGGGGTATCTGGATGTATGCTATTAGAAACAGAATCCTGGGCTATATAGCCTTGGTTTGACTTTGCAGCAGTTCTCAGGAACTTATGATACAATAAGAATAGTTACTGATCAATGCATAGATACATATATGTCTGTACCCTTCTTGCCTCTCCCATACCCTTTCCCACTTCCTGAGAAAATTTTAGTCATATTTCAAATGTGTTATAATAGCCTGTATGTTTCAGGGAGTCTCTTCGCCCCAATGTAGCTACTAAAGCCATACCAGAAGGGGAAAAAATGGCATCTTCATCAGGGAATGATACCATGTAGTTAAATACTTACCATTTTCCCCATCATTGTCACATATGGACCTGCATGCTGATTCACGGCAAAGAAATCAAGGAGCCTGGCATACCAGAATATTATATCCAGAGAGTAAATTAATCTTCCTGCTGTTTGAAGTGGAGGATCTCTCCAGCGCAAGCCAAAACCAGTCATGAACAAGACAATAGCAATAGTATCTGTAAAATTCCAGTACTCATAAATCCACACTTTCACCTTTTGGCTGAACTTTCCTGGCTCTAAAATGAACACCTAAGGGACAAAGGAAATTTATGAACATAAACATTTAGGAGCATAAAACAACCTTATGTTTTTCTGCACATGAACGGGAATAATTTCCTCCCATTTTCCACTAGTTTCCCCCACTGCAGAAGTGTCTACACTACAGCAATACTATTAGAGGTTTTACCTGATATTATGTGATTTTATTTGTATAATGTATTTTTATCTTCTGGACCACTGACCATAATAAATAAATACAGGACCTAAGCAAGCACTGCCCTGTGGTGCCTCATAGCTAGTGCACACTGTGGGGTCCAAATCTTCACTACAGAGAGTCCACACTGTCTTCAGCTTTGCTCTCCTCCTCCTAACAAATAGAAAATCCAGTTCTTCCTCTGTCTCCCTTTTATTCTCCCCTTGGTAGAGAGACTTCCTTGATGGACTTTCTCATCTTCTCATTATTATTTTTTTTCATCTTCTTCATTTTCCCATCACTCTTGGCCTCTCTAGTCCTTTGGCTCCAGAAGAGGAATCAATCAGTGGTAATAGCCAGGGGAAGGGATCCAACCTGTGCCCACCTGACATAGGGAAGGATGTGGAGGTAGACCCTTTCCAAGTGCCCAAGCTCACCTGTTCACACTCTTCCCACAGGGAGGGGAGACTGACGTCTACCCCATCCTAACCAAAACCAAACCAAAATGTCTAACCAGTCAAAAGCGGAACAGATGTATCTCTATATTTAGGTTTCTTTATAGTAGCAACTATCATGAGACACACTCAAGGCAATGTAAGATTACTTGTTGTAAGTTCTAGGTCAAGCATAAGCTGCTGGAGGCATGGAAAAAAGGCAAAACAGCTCTTGTAAATAAAGTAACAAATTAATTTTGCTGGTTTGCTTCGGTACAAATAGAAAAGAACAAATCTTTGTCAATTATCAAGGGCATAGCAATCTTGAAAAGGAGAGTTTTCAAAATCAGGTAAGTGGAAAATAACATGTTTCCTTCCTGAACAATGAGAGTGCCCCTAAGGGTTTTGTCAGCTTTACTAAACAAATCATGAACTGGAATCTTTGGGAGGCCATGAAAAAAAAATTGGTACACATTATACCGTAAAGCCTAATTGTAAATACTATGATCACACTGATAAGCTACAAGTGAAAAAAATGTTGAAATGTGAGCCTCCAGACCTTAAGAAAGCAAAGACATGGAGGAATAACTTTATACACATGACTTCCTTTTGAGTTAAATGGTGCTATTAGTAAGTGTAGCAATACATAAAGAAATGAAGGGTGTCACAATAACTCAACACAATCTGACATTTCAAGCAGATCTGCAGCATAACACACATACAGTAGCACCTGAGAAATTAATTAAGCATAAGACATAGTGTTCTCTAAAATTCTATTCAATAGACCAGAACCAGTACAAGCATGAGGTTGTTGTTTAGTCATTAAGTCGTGTCCAACTCTTCATGACCCCGTGGACTAGAGCACGCCAGGCCCTCCTGTCTTCCACTGCCTCCCAGAGTTGGGTCAAATTCATGTTGGTTGCTTCAGTGACACTGACCAACCATCCGGTCCTCTGTCATCCCCTTCTCCTCTTTCCTTCACACTTTCCCAACATCAGGGTCTTTTCCAGGGAGTCTTCTCATGAGATGGCCAAAGTATTGGAGCCTCAGCTTCAGGATCTGTCCTTCCAGTGAGCACTCAGGGGTGATTTCCTTAAAAATGGATAGGTTTGTTCTCTTTGCAGTCCAGGGGACTCTCAAGAGTCTCCTCCAGCATCACAATTCAAAAGCATCAAATCTTCGGTGGTCAGCTTTCTTTATGGTCCAGCTCTCACTTCCATACATCACGACAGGAAAAACCATAGCTTTGACTATTCGGACTTTTGTTGGCAAGGTGATGTCTCTGCTTTTTAAGTTGCTGTCAAGATTTGTCATCACTTTCCTCCCAAGAAACAGGTGTCCCTTAATTTCGTGGCTGCTGTCTCCATCTGCAGTGATCATGGAGCCCAAGAAAGTGAAATCTGTCACTGCCTCCATATCTTCCCCTTCCATTTGCCAGGAGGTGATGGGACTAGTGGCCATGATCTTAGTTTTTTTGATGTAGAGCTTCAGACCCTTTTTTGCGCTCTCCTCTTTCACCCTCATTAAGAGGTACTTTAATTCCTCCTCACTTTTTGCCATCAGAGTGGTATCATCTGGACATCTAAGGTTGTTGATATTTCTTCTGGCAACCTTAATTCCGATTCATCCAGTTCAGCCTTTCGCATGATGTATTCTGCATGTAAGTTAAATAAGTAGGGTGATGTCTATGTGTATAGTCACCTGGAAAAGAGTGTTTGTGATGACCAGCTTGTTCTCTTGACAGAACTCTAGTAGCTTTTGCCCTGCTTCATTTTGAACTCCAAGGCCAAACCTGCCTGTTGTTCCCTTTATCTCTTGAACCTTCAGTTCTAGAAGGTGTTGCAAGTCTTCATAGAACTGATCAATTTCAACCTCTTCAGCATCTGTGGTTGGTGCATAAACTTGGATAACTGTGATGTTAAAAGGTCTGCCTTGGATTTGTATTGAAATCATTCTATCATATTTGAGATTATATCCCATTACAGCTTTTCCCACTCTTTTGTTGACTATGAGGGCTACTCCATTCCTTCTATGGAATTCTTGCCAAACAATAGTAGATAAGATAATCGTCTGAATAGAATTCACGTGGTTGGTGCATAAACTTGGATAACTGTGATGTTAAAAGGTCTGCCTTGGATTTGTATTGAAATCATTCTATCATATTTGAGATTATATCCCATTACAGCTTTTCCCACTCTTTTGTTGACTATGAGGGCTACTCCATTCCTTCTATGGAATTCTTGCCAAACAATAGTAGATAAGATAATCGTCTGAATAGAATTCACCAATTTCTGTCCATTTTAGTTCACTGACACCCAGGATGGCAATGTTTATTCTTGCCATCTTCTGTTTGACCACAGCCAGCTTACCAAGGTTCATAAATCTTACTGTACATTCCAGGTTCCTATGCAGTACTTTGCAGCATCAGACTTTCCTTTCACTTCCAAGCATGTCTGTAGCTGAGCGGCCTTCCGGCTTTGGCCCAATCACTTCATTAGCTCTGGAGCTACTTGTACTTGTCCTCCACTCTTCCTCAGTAGCATGTTGGTTGCTTTCCGACCTGAGGGGCTCATTTTCCAGCACCATATCTTTTAGCCTTTTGTTTCTGTCCATGGAATTTTCTTGGCAAAGATGCTGGAGTGGCTTGCTAGTTCCTGCTCAGGGTGGACTGCGTTTAGTCAGAACTCTCCACTATGACCTGTCCGTCTTGGGTGTCCCTGCACGGCATGGCCCATTAGGTAATGCTTTCTAAAAGAACAGCCTTGGAGTTACATGAATCAGCAGAGAACATGAAATCATTTTAAAGCAAAAATTACAATTCAATGAACGTCTCCATCACGTTGTTGCCACATTTTACCCAAGACTTTTGTGCTTATACAGTATAAGAGATCTCTAGCCTATGTCCCTGGACTGGGAAAAAACCAAGCCTATCCATTTTGAAGGAAATCAACCCTGAGTGCTCACTGGAAGGACAGATCCTGAAGCTGAGGCTCCAGTACTTTGGCCATCTCACAAGAAGAGAAGACTCCCTAGAAAAGACCCTGATGTTGGGAAAGAGGGAAGGCAAGAGGAGAAGGGGACGAGAGAGGATGAGATAGTTGGACAGTGTCATCGAAGCTACCAACATGAATTTGACCCAACTCCAGGAGGCAGTGAAAGACAGGAGGGCCTGGCGTGCTTTGGTACAGGGGGTCATGAAGAATCGGACATGACTTAATGACTAAACAACAACAACAAGCCTATGTCCAGGCAAATTTTAACCATTCTACATAGCTAAGGCAGATTCCACATTATCTTGTCTTGTCTCCTGCCCATTATAATAAAAAGGAATTTTCTTTTACTCCTGCTGAACTGATATTATGGTTACACTAAGAACATGAATGGATAGCTGGATCAGGGTTTTAAATATTGTATTAAATTGTGGTCACGTGGTTTTTGAGCCAATGTGTACATCACAATCTGTGTGTCCCTGTGCATCAGGATTTAAAACTTGCTAAACCTGATTCATGTGCAGTTCTTTTTCCTAGTGTATTCAGGCTCTCAAGTACATTGTTAGTGGGAGTGGGTAGCCAAATCGTGTTGTTTAGCATAGTAAATTATACTAGAGTAAGCCCAATGAAACAGTGGGGATTCAGCGAGTTCAACACCATTAAAAGCTACATTAAGTCAAAGGGCCGTACTCTAATTTCCATTTACTATGCTAAAGTAAATCACAGTTAGAATAGACCTACTTGAGTCAATGGAATCTACGGAAAAGTTGACTCACCAAATCCTCCTTAATTCAGATGGGGCTACTCAGTGTAACTTAAGCTAAGCAATAGGGTTTCATTATTTGGAAAGCCCCAAGAAATAGAGGAATGTATTTGATATGAATGCATATGTTTTAATATAATACAAAACAGATACATTCATATCAGGTGGGTAAATGCTTGAACCAATGTCAAAAAGACCCCCGTTCGGCACACTCTTACAGCTTCTCCTCTCTCCACTGACATTTTTCTCTTTTTTACAGCTTAAGAATGAAGAGCCAAGCTTCTCTGCATTGTCAAGAATTTTCATTTTTCTTTTAGAGATAAGATGAAGGAATGATGAAGGAAATGCTTGTTTACAACTTATTAGGTTGTTCTTTTGTAACGTGCCATCTGCGGGGCTATAAGTAGAACTGCAACAAGCTCCAAACAAGGTTCTTCTCTTCCCTGACTGTGTAGCCAGTCAAAGAGAAGAGATCCAGGGAAACCCAAATTGTCTGATGCAATTTCACAGCAAGTGTGTGCAAGTGAATTTCCATTTCCCTCTCTGTGGAGTCACACCCTAAAACTTAGGAGGTTTCTAATTCGAAATACATATGGTATCTTAGCAATGAAATGGGTTTTCAATGTTTTCAAATTTTGGAATGCTGTACACCCAACAGAATGATTCAATGTGATTCAGGTGTGCTTTTGGGAAAGAAATTCAGTCATAACATGACAATTTTAAATGCTGGATAGCTCAGTGGTTTAAGTATCTGGGCGACAAAGCCAGATTGGGAGTTCAATTCCCCACTGCGCCTCTTCGACAGGGGCTGGACTTAATGATCCATAGGCTCCCTTCCAGCTCTGCAGTTCTAAGATTATTAAATATTATGATGATGATTAATGGTGATCTACCCTATACATAACTGTAGTTATATATTATTCTTAATCCCTACTAAATATAGAGAGCAGCAAAATCAGAATAAAATAAAAGAGCATACCTCTCTGACTTTCTCAATGGAAGTGGTGAAAATGTAGATGATCACAAGCCATTCTTGCACGCTGGGTGTTGGCTGCATCTCCACCAAGACGGTGTAAGTGAACAGCATGAGAAATACTAAATATGCCATCTAAAGAATACACAAAACACGTTGCATGCAAACAGGCAACTGTGAGAAAAATTAGAAATTAACAAAAAGAGCACAATACAGTATTTCTCGTTAGCATTTAAGTGAGTTCGCCACACAACAATTCAGGCAAAACTTTAGCAGGCAAGTCACTGATTCACAAATGTTGGGTACACTAATTTTCAGAATTTGAAGGAAAAGAAAAGTATGCCTCCAAGATTATAGCAGCTGCCATGACTGAGGTCAATGGTACAAATGAAAAAGTACTGCTGCAATGGGCCCTATGAGGGCAGCTAAAGGGGCAGGGAGGATAAATAAAGGAATGAATTATAAATAATATTTCTGGACTACAGATATCATGCCATCCCAGCCCAAAACTTGGGGAGTAGTCCAAAAGTAAGATTTCCAAACTCTGATACAACTTCAACCATACAGAGAAGCAACCATGTTGGCTACTCCTTGGTGTGTTTATTCTCCTCAGGTAGGCAGTTAAGGAGAGAGAGTGGTGATGACTGGGCCAGCTGATGCTGTTCTTGAATGGAGGTGCATTTGCTTCAGTGGAAAGGATGAGGAGCAACTACCAACAGCACCATCATGGGATCACAGATGGAGGCCACTACCAAGGGACCCAACCAGCATTCGGGTGGTTGTATATTTTGCAGGTAGTCCTTTACACTGTCTGAAGGGCCATCTGGGCCAAAAGCCACAAGAGAAGATTAGCATCCCACCCCAATTTACACCCAGACACACAGATCACCTGGTTACCGTTTCTCACTATACAGTAGTGACATTTTCTGTCTGAACCATAATTTTAAAATGTGCACATATCTACAAATTGGGATATACAAATAATATATAGATCTGTGTCTTCTCCCTTTTGAGAACATGTGATGCTTACTGTCTTTGTTACTGACACTGTAGGAGTTACTGTTACCTACACTCATTTTGAGCAAACTTTATAACACTGGTTGCTGAGATCAGCACAATAACACATTCCTACTGTGACGTATAGTGGCTAAAATCCTGTTGCTTAGTACAGGAAATCACACTAGAGTAGATCCACTGAAACAATGAAGATTTGATGAGTCAAGTCCTCCATAACATCCACTGATTCAAATGGGCGTACTCTAATTTCGACTTACTTTAGTGCAGTAAGTCACAGTTAGAGTAGGTCCACAATTTACTTCTCTCACAAAGGCAGTATTCTCAATACATATACTTTTCACAAGCATTTTTCTCATTCAGGAAATTAACCCATTCTAATGTGTTTTTCCCCATTCAGAACTGTAAGTTATTAGAGAACTGAAATGCAATCCAGTATTTCAAGCAGATTTTGGCTACAGGGATGAACATGACACACAAATGTTTTCTATTGCCCCTTACTTGAACCTCCAGGAGCACAGAATAACATCTGGCATTAAAGAAACAAGATAACTTAACTGGAATAGGCCCTAGATTGTCTACTTAGCTTTTATTCCTTTCAGCTCCTCTTCTTTCCTGCCAAAAAATGAAAGCATCCCCTTCCTTAAGGCCCCTGAGCACTTCTGATGGGATCTCTCTCTTTTTTAAAAAAAGTACCCAACTGTGCCAGCTTAAAAGATCAAAATTAAAGTTATTTTTTTCATTCAGTGGTAAATACCAGGAGGTCTGTGGAGTAGATTTTAAGAAGTGTTTCAGTGTATTTTTTTGAAAGTTTATAATATCAAAAATGACTGACCGTGTGGAACCAGAACTTGACAATAGGAGCACTGTAGAATTCATAGATTTTCCTAGTCCAAGGAAGGCTTCCTGGATCGTGGTTTGCAGGGAAAGTCTGCCTTTGGTCCTGTTCCTCAGCTCCATATTCTAAATCGTGGTTGTTCTATGTAAACACATAAAATATTCAGATTAGTAGCTAGACAACCAGATTAGGTAGCTAAGCAGAAAGGAAGAGAAATATACCATATATTTCCGTGTATAAGGGTAGCTAAGCAGAAAGGAAGAGAAATATAGTATACCATATATTTCTGTGTATAAGATACCCCCTTTTCTAACCCAAAATTTCTTTCTTTGCAAAAAGTAAAGGTGGAAAGCAGGGATCAAAGTACTTTGATCCTTCCCCCCCCCCCTTACTACTGTATATAAAATGACCCTCAATTTTTCCTCTAATTATTTTAGGAAAAAGTGTCATTTTATACACGGAAATATACGGTAGTACAGCCACTTTTTAAAATATATTGTTGCACAAGTAATAATAAAAATTTCTCCTTCCTAAACCTCAAGGAATAGATTATTTACAATAACCATGATTAGCACTCAAGCTCAAACTATAATTTATGGCAAAGTTTTCCATTATTATTTTGAACTTGAAACAGAAGGCTTTCTTAAGTTCCAAGTCTAATATTAAGGGAAAGGGTTAACGTAAAACCCTTAAAGAAGCAATTCTGTGCTGGATCCAAAACACTACTAGTTATTCAGTATTATTTGGCTTCCAAGTCTCCACTTTTTATTACTATATAACCACACAAGGGCCCAGTCTTAAGCAGGGCCACTGTGATTGCACCTGTCTACTCCACATGTACAGGTGCTTAGAGGGAATTTCCACTGGCACTTATGCAGGGTTTTACTTTTACTTTTTTAGCCCCCACATACAGGGGAGTTTGAAC